GACAGGATCAGGATTCCTTCGGTGGGGGCTTTGAGACAAATCAGTCCTTGGTGGGAGACATTGGAAGTGTGAACATGTGGGACTTTGTGCTGTCGCCAGATCAGATTAACACTGTCTATGCTGGCGGGACCTTCAGTCCTAATGTCCTGGACTGGCGGGCACTGAAGTATGAAGTGCACGGTGAAGTGTACACCAAGCCCCAGCTGTGGCCGTGAGGCTGGGCTGTGGGTCCTGAAAGTGGCTCCCAGTTTCTTTACACCACATGGGCCCCACATCTCTGTCTCTGGGCCTTTGTTCCCCTATACGCATTGCAGGCCTGCTCCGCCTTCCTCAGCACCTGAGAACACAGGCAAAGCGTCTGGCCTGGGACCTCGTGAACTACGCTGGGAAGCTGTGTCCAGGAGAATCAGAATTTCAGGTGTTTTGTTTTCATTTTTATTTCTTTTTAAGTCAGACAGATCTTGGAGTTAATTTCTTACCCTCACATAGATGAGAAAACTGAAACCCAGAAAGGAGAAATGATTTTTTGTTTTTAAAGTCACAAGGCAAGAACATCTCTGAGCTGAGAAGGAAGTACTGGTCTTCTATTTAATATCCTGCCCAGGACCTCCAGAAAGCAGGAGGGCATTGCCCACATTCACAGGGTTCTTCAGTCTCAGAATCAGGACATTGGCCAGGTCTCCGGATTGGGTCCAGAGTGCTCATGATCATGCCATGGAACTGCTGGGCCCAGGTCTCCTGAAATGGGAAGCCCAGCAGCACTACAGATCTCCTCCACATTCTCAAAGCACGCTGGAGAAGCCATCAGAATTGCCCGAGCAGAGGTCTGCCTTTTTCCAGAGCAAAATGAGGCACGAGGTATAATATGTTGTTACTGCCAAGAACGTGCATGAAAATGGTTTTTGCTTGAGTGCAGTGCTTTCTTAATTTTATGGTTCTTCTGGGAACCCCCCACTTTCCATATGAACCTTGTGGGGCTTTGAATTCCTTCTTCATGCCCGAAATTCTCAATATACCCAGGATGCAAGAGTGGATGTGAGACACAGGGCGTCCTGTCAGAGTAGCCCATCTCCCATCTCCCCAGCTCCCTATCTGGAGGTTGTTTTTGGATATTAAATGTTCCTAGCAGGACCAATTATAGTCTTCCCAAGGATTGAGTTATGGACTTTGGGAGTGAGACATCTTCTTGCTGCTGGATTTCCAAGCTGAGAGGACGTGAGCCTGTGACTACCAGTAGCCATTTTGTTTGCCACATGGAGAGAGGTTGTGGGGACGAAGCCAAACTGGGAATGGAGGAGCCCAGGGATTGATACGTGATGGAGCCTTGGCCACATAGAGCCTCTGAATCAGCCTGTCTGGAACCACGTCTACACCTGGACTGCCTAGGTCCATAAGCCAATAAAGCCCCTGCTAACTTGAGTGAGTCCAAGCTGTTTTCTGATGGTTGCTTTCGCGGTTGTGACTAAATTCTCTGATGACCTTTGAAACCAAGTCTGCGTAAGTTTACACTGCCCATTACAGGACAGATCCATGGCACTCTAACCTGCCTGAGAGCCCCCTGCAGGGATTGCCTCTGACAAGCACATTCCCTCTTTTGAGATAGCTGGCCATTCCTGTAGTGCCAGTTGTGGGGGTTTTAATACTCTCATTCTATCATTATTCCAGTTTGAGGAATAAAAGCTAAAGATCATTGCGATCCATCAATCTGCTGCCAGGTTCAGTGACTGGAATGCACCTGCCCTGGTTCGTTCAGGTTCTCTGTAGAAACAGACCCCTCAAAGATGACGGCTGCTGGCTTCCACCAGAAGTGTCCTTCAACATGGTCTTTCAGTACTAAGTGATCAGTAGAAGTTACTGCCTAGAAACCACCGCCAGGAATGAATGATGGGGCTTCCTGTGTATTAAATGGTTATCTAGGGAAGGCGTATGGTAAGCTAGTTAAGCACAGAGGTTCTGGCATCAGACTGCCTAGGCCATATCCTGGCTTTGCAACTTACTAGCTATATGACCCTAGGTAATATGATCTCTTTATGTCTCAGTTTTCTTACCTACAAAACAGGAGAAATAGTAATTAGCTCAAAGGGTTGCTATGAGAATCAAAGAAAATCATGTAAGCAAAGCACTTAGCACAGTGCCTGGCACACGGTAAACTATTTAGCAGTTTTCTGCTATTGTTTTTATTAAGCCATTTTGTATTATATCCATAAACATAGGCTCATTATATGCCATAAAAATACAACTTGGTAGAATTTGTCTCAGTTCACAGTAGTTGAAGTTTCTCCTTGACTAAGAATTAAGTTTAGAATGTTAGAAAGATGAACAACAAATCTTTGAAACCATTATTTATGAATATTGACTTCTCTCATTGACTTTTGATGACCATTTGTAAGCATAGAAGTTAAGGATACATTCTCAGACAAAAATGAGAGTGCAAATGTTATCTGTGGTCCAATTCGGGCAGATCCATCCATCCTCACATTCAGCTAAGCAAAATTGAGGACTGACACTCTTTTCCAGTTAAATAATCCAGATATGTCTTAATTATAGAAGGCCATCCCAGCTCCCCAGGGATGTGGGTTGAGCTAATATTTTCTTCAGAATTCAATTACTTGTATCTTATATGTGGTCTAGTGGACAGTCTCTGGCCTTAATAATTTGAGCCAGGAAAATTTTAACAGCTGGTATTTGCATTCAGAGAACGTTAAAAAATATTAACAAAGCATTTGTAGGATGTTTAAATTTAAGCAATTTAGCCTACTGGTGGATACTTCAATGTAATCTTGTTGGAAAATGTATTTCCAGGTAACTGGTGAATTGTCATACCATAAAGAGCTATCAGATGTAATCCAATTAAATGTTAGATGACATCTGCCAAAAAAGATGATTCTGATGTGGGCATGTTGGTTCTAAGCAATGCTTTTTTTGTGTGTTAAATGGAGAGTAAGATCAAGCATCCACTGTGGCCACTTCTAGCTGATACTAATGAAGCCACGTCATCAGCACCGGTTTTCTGTTAGAGTAGGAACTATGCATCCAATTTTTCCAGAAATAGAACCAGGCCTCAAGGAATGAGTTAAAGAGATGTAAGGCCAAATGGTCTATAAAACCTATAACAGAAATGAGGTGAAAGAGGGGTGGTGGCCCAGTGCCTGAAGAGATATTGTAGCGCATTTATAGGCCAAATAAGAGAAAGTAGACCAATACTATGAATCAGGGATAATGGAGGCTGCTACTTGATAGAACACGTTCTTTTTGGAACTGAAAATAGCCATGTTGCTATAAGCATTAGGGCCAGGCCTGATCCTAATGTAAGTGCCTTAATGTGGGATGCAACATAGAAACCTAAAATCTCCCTGTGTCAGAAATAAATATTAGCTCATTGGCCAGGCAACAGGCCTTGCACACTCTCCAAAAAGAGGTGGTCATGGAGAGAGCATGGTTAAGAATGGGCTGCATGTAAGGCCAGGTGAGTGGAGAAGCCATCCCTGTGGGGAGAACTGGTCTATCCAGGCCCTGGAGGAGGGACTACAGGCTGCCTCAAAAGCGAGGCTGGGATTTGATGGAAATGGATTTGGAGCCTCAGCCTACAAAATAAGTAGAATGTTAAATCTGCTATATTCTCCCCATGCTTTCACTATTTGATGTGCCCCAGGGAAGCAAAGATTGACAAAGAAAGCAAATGACTCTAGATGATTAAACACCACCACCACTATCACCACCTAGAAAAAATTTCCAAAATATGGATTTCTGATCACTAGAATCCCAGGGAAAAGAGAAGCACTGCTTTGATTTCTAGGTAGTTTTATCCTAGAACAACTGCCCGGTAGTTTCAGATGGGTTGTCATAACTTGCCTGGATTCCTTATTTTCAGCTCCCTGCCTCTATTTTATCTATGCATCTTTTCATTTCTTCTGTACTGGAATGCAGGTTAAGTGAGCTTGTTAGCCTCTTCCTTCACAAAACAGAGACTCCTAGCTCAAATTTCCTGGATCGCCTGGTCCAGTGATAACTTATAGTCTGCTGATTACAGGCATCCTTGTCATCTGGGTGTTTGAGTATGGATTCATTGACCCCAGTCCTCCTAGAGTAGATTCTCTGGGGTTAGCACTCAGGAATGTGCAAGATCACAAGCCCTTTTATACTATGTGCTTGTAGAGCCAGCATTTTAGTGTTTTCCTGTCAGCTCAGATTTCTTATCTCAGGGACATCCCTGCCTCCCACTAAGCTTGTGGGCAGGTGGTCACCTTTAACGAAGCATCTAGTGCATCTGTACTCAGGTCATCCCCTTGGCCTTCCTCTGGTACATTCTTTCAGGACTCATTCAGTGTGGACCCCTCTGTCCTATGTCCTTAATACACAGTTAATAGATCTCACAAAGTTTCATCACTGCCCACAGGATGATAATTGCTTAATCACACAGGGAAGATCACACACAGTCTTCAAACAAACAAAACAAAACAAAAACATCTTACACTTACTGAGCTCTTACCATGTGCCGGGTACTGTTCTAAGTCTTTTAAATATATTTACTTGCTTAATGACAATTCTATGAGGTATGTAATATTTTATAGTCCTCATTTTACAGATGAGAAAACAGATTTGGAGAGGTGAATTAACTTGTTCAGAGGTAGACTTTGAACCTTGGCAGTCTGGCTACTCAGCTCTATGGTTTTTTTTTTTTTTGAGATGGAGTCTCACTCTGTCACCCAGGCTGGAGTACAGTGGAGTGATCTCAGCTCACTGCAACTTCCACCTCCTGGATTCAAGTGATTCTCTTGCCTTAGCCTCCCGAGTAGCTGGGATTACAGGTGCCTGCCAACGCGCCCCGTTATTTTTTTTTAGTATTTTTTTTATTTTAGTATTTTATTGTATTTTTTTTAGTAGAGACGGGGTTTCACCATCTTGGCCAGGCTGTTCTCAAACTCCTGACCTCGTGATCCACCTGCCTCAGCTTCCCAAAGTGCTGGGATTACAGGTGTGAGCCACCGCGCCCGGCCCTCAACTCTATGCTTCTAACCACTGTATTCTACTGCCACATGCAACAGAAACTTACACCCTGCATTTATACCCATGGTGCAAGTGGGAGGGTGTAGGGGTGTGTGTTTTTTTCTTATGGGAAAGCCATTCCAGGATGCCGTATGTTCGGTGTTAGCTACCATTGCGGGTCCACTGACAATCACCCTACCTTTTTATTTTGTCCTATGTGCTTAGGAGAATGGCTTGCACATAGAAATCCTATTCAGCCTTAGCATAAATACAATTGTCAAAGTTCTCCTCCGACCTCCATCTCTTCTACAGTCACGCATGCCCCTAGGCACAACTTCACATCCTAGTGGCATTCACCAAAGGCATAGAATCATACGAGGGACTCTCTAGGCTAGCAGTTCTCAACTTTGATATGAATATGGGAACCACCTGGAGAGCTTTCAAAAATCCAGTTGCTTAGGCCATAACCAGATAATTACATTGGATTACCTGGTGGAGTGACTCAGGCATCATGATTTTTAAAGCTTAGTGATTACAATGTACAGCCAAGTCTCCAACAACAGAGGCTGAGGTGTCACTCTTGTAGGGCGAGTGGTAGTTTAGAAAAGAGGTGCCACTCTTGTAGGGTGAGTGATAGTTTAGAAAAGATTGCAGAGTCACAGCTGTGGTCCCTGACAGTTCATGTGGTTATTTCTGACGGATATGCCCCTTGTTTCTTCATTTTCTTATGTTATAGTGGTTTCAGTTTGAGTCAGGGGACCATACCAAACTCCATTTGAGCACTGGAGTGTGGAGTTGCAGCTCCAGGATTAAATAAAGTGACAGCTCTGTATTTAGTGTGTTCTTATTTATTCAATAGAACCTCACAGTGATGACAAACATTGTTTTAGAGTGTTTTTCATTTTCCCCACTTGATACTTTGTATCTCTGTAGTGTGGGGAAACCAAATGCCAAGAAATTTAGAAAAGCTGAAATCCTTAAGTATTTTTATCAGAGCATCACAGATGTAAGAGGAAGAGAGAAGAGGCTTTTCAAAGAAACATATCTGACGGAAGGGTAAAGGTTGCATTGCAAGCTTATTACGCTTCTCTCCTGATAAAGTTCATTCAGTGCTCTGTGATATGCTGCAAGCACTTACAGAGCTGCACGGACAGGTTACTGGAGCCGGGGTGGGTTGTAAAATGGTTTGTGGGAAGATCTTTCATTCTCGCTCTCTTGCTTTAGCTCTCGCTCTCTCCATCTCTATTTCTCTCTGCCTCTCTCTCTCTTTTTCAATTTTAGGTCTTCTTTACAGCATATCCATTTTGGAGGTAGTTCCTATAATGTAGTAGGCTCCATGAAATCAATAAAATTCCCAGTGTTCTCCTATTGCTTTGGTAGCTGCATTATTTTAACTTACCTGAGGAGCCTGGATATTAACAAGAAGGCATTTTGGTATTGAAAAAACATCTTCCTTCTTTGTACCAATCTTTTCACCTATACGATTGTTTTTTGTTTAAATTATACATCTACCTTTTATTGGGCAAATGGTTAGAATGAGAGAATTAAAGCTTTTGGAGCAATTACTTTAAGCCAGTCTTATAATTTAAAAAACAGATGCGAAAAGTTTGAAAAAGGATATTTAAAAATGTTAAAACTGTACATCATTAAAAAACAAACCAGTCCAGAAAGGTACCATTTGTAATAGTCGTTTCTTTCTTGTGTGTTTAGAGTATGCTATCCACATGTTATTTCGTTCTCCTAGTCAACGGAGATGCAGCCTGTACCATCAATTTCTCATTGGATATCAATGGGAAGACTCATGATGAGATCATGATGAATAAGCTCAAAATTCTCTTTTTTAAAATCATATTGTAAGTTCTGGGATACATGTGCAGAACTTGCAGGTTTGTTACATAGGTATACATGTGCCATGGTGGTTTGCTGTACCCACCAACCCATCATCTACATTAGGTATTTCTCCTAATGCTAACCCTCGCCAAGCCTCCCACTCTCTGACAGGTCCCGGTATATGATGTTCCTCTCCTTGTGTCCACGTGTTCTCATTGTTCAACTCCCGCTTATGAGTGAGAATATGTGATGTTTGGTTTTCTGTTCTTGTGTTAGTTTGCAGAGAATGAAGATTTCCAGCTTCATCCATGTCCCTGCAAAGGACACGAACTCCTTTTTTTATTGCTGCACGGTATTCCATAGTTTATATGTGCCACATTCTCTTTATCTGGTCTATCATTGATGGACATTTGGATTGGTTCCAAGTCTTTGCTATTGTGAACAGTGTCACAAAAAACATATGTGTGCATGTGTCTTTATAGTGGAATGCTTTATAATCCTTTGGGTATATACCCAGTAATGGGATTGCTGGGTCAAATGGTATTTCTATTTCTAGATCCTTGAGGAATTGCCACACTGTCTTCCACAATGGTTGAACTAATTTACACTCCCACCAACAGTGTAAAAGCATTCATGTTTCTCCATATCCTCTCCAGCATCTGTTGTCTCCTGACTTTTTAATGATCACCATTCTAACTGGCATGAGATGGTATCTTACTGTGTTTTTTTAAAAATTTATTTATTTATTTTTATTTAGAGAGAGAGACAGAAACTGGAGAAGGAGAGATAAACAGCTAACTCTCACACTGAGTGAGAGAATCCAGGAAGATGGAATCCAGGAGAGGAAAGCAGCTTCCACACTAAGTGGAAGGGAACAGAGAGAGATGGAGTTTAGGAGGGGAAGACAGACTTCCATGAGAGAGTGTGGAAAGGGACTCCAGAGGGGAAATCCAGGAGAGAGAAAGATGGCTTCCATGAAGGGAATATTTGTAGAAGGGGACCCAAACATGGAGTCCCTCATTGTGGTTTTGATTTGCATTTTTCTAATGACCAGTGATGCTGAGCATTTTTTCATATGTTTGTTGCTCACATAAATGTCTTCTTTTGAGAAGTGTCTGTTCATATCTTTCACCCACTTTTTGATGGGGTTGCTTGTTTTTTTTCCTTGTAAATTTGTTTAAGTTCTTTGTAGATTCTTGATATTAGTCATTTGTCAGATGAATAGATGGCAAACATTTTCTCCCATTCTGTAGGTTTCTTGTTCACTCTGAGGATAGTTTCTTTTGCTGTGCAGAAGCTCTTTAGTTTAATTAGATCCACTGTGAGTCTGACGGACCTCCCTTCATGGGTAATCTGACCTTTCTCTCTGGCTGCCCTTAACATTTTTTTCCTTCATTTCAACCTTGGTGAATCTGACGATTATGTGTCTTGGGGTTTCTCTTCCCGAGGAGCATCTTTGTGGAGTTCTCTGTATTTCCTGAATTTGAATGTTGGTCTGTCTTGCTTGGTTGGGGAAGTTCTCCTGGATGATATTCTGAAGAGTGTTTTCCAACTTGGTTCCATTCTCCCTGTCACTTTCAGGTACACCAATCAAACGTAGGTTTGGTCTTTTCACACAGTCCCATATTTCTTGGAAGCTTTGTTTTTTCTTTTCATTCTTTTTTCTCTAATCTTTTCTTCTCACTTTACTTCATTAAGTTGATCTTCAGTTTCTGATATCGTTTCTTCCACTTGGCCAGTTCAGCCATTAATACTTGTGTGTGATTCACAAAGTTCTTGGGCTGTGTTTTTCAGCTTCATGTGGTCATTAATGTTCTTCCCTAAATTTGTTATTCTAGTTAGCAATTCCTCTTATCTTTTTTCAAGGTTCTTAGCTTCCTTGCATTGGGTTAAAACATGTTTCTTTAGATTGAAGTATTTGTTATTACCCACCTTCTGAAGCCTACTTCTGTCAGTTCCTCATACTCTCCATCCAGGTTTGTTCTCTTGCTGGTGAGGAGCTGTGATCCTTTGGAGGAGAATAGGCATTCTGGCTTTTGGAATTTTCAGCCTTTTTGTGCTGGTTTCTTTCCATCTTCATGGATGTATCTATCTTTGGTCTTTGATGTTGGTGACCTTCAGATGGGGTCTCTGAGTGGATGTCCTTTTTGTTGATGTTATTATTTTTTTTTCCTGTTTGTTAGTTTTCCTTCTAACAGGCGGGCCCCACCTCTGCGGGTCTGCTGGAGTTTCCTGGAGGTCCACTCGAGACCCTGTTTTCCTGGGTATCACCAGTGGAAGCTGCAGAACAGCAAATATTGCTGCCTGTTCCTTCCTCTGGAAGCTTTGTCCAAGAGGGGCACCCACTAGATGCCAGCCAGAACTCTCCTGTAGGAGGTGTGTGTCAGCCCCTACTGGGAGGTGACTCCCAGTTAGGATACATAGGGGTCAGGGACCCACTTGAGGAGGCAGTCTGACCCTTATCAGAGCTTGAACACTGTTGGGAGATCTGCTTCTCTCTTCAGAGCCATCAGGCAGGGACATTTAAGCCTGCTGATGCTGCACCCATAGCTGCCCCTTCCTCCAGGTGTTCTGTCCCATGGAGATGGGGTTTTATCTCTAAGTCCCTGGTTGGGGCTGCTGCCTTTTTTCAGAGATGTTCTGCCCAGAGAGGAGGAATTTAGAGAGGCAGTCTGGCTGCAGCAGCCTTGCTGAGCTGCGGTGGGCTTCACCCAGTTTGAACTTCCTGGTGGCTTTGTTTACACTGTGAGGGTAGAACTGGCTACTCAAGCCTCAGCAATAGTGAATGCCCCTCACCCCACCAAGCTTGAGTGTTCCAGGTGGACCTCTGACTGCTGTGCTGGGCCAGTAGATTTGGCCAGTGGATCTTAGCTTGCTGGGCTCCATGGTGGGATCCTCTGAGCTAGACCACTTGGCTCCCTGGCTTCAGCCTCCCTTTCCAGGGGAGTGAACAGTTCTGTTTTGCTCACATTCCAGGCGCCATAGGGGTGAAAAAGAAAAAAAAAACAACAAAAAACAAAAAACTTCTGCAGCTAGTTTGGTGTCTGCCCAAACAGCCACTCAGTTTTGTGCTTAAAACCCAGGGCCCTGGTGGTGTAGGCACCCGAGGGAATCTCCTGGTGTGCAAGCTGCCAAGACCATGGGAAAAGTGCAGTATCTGGGCCAGAGTACACAGCCCTTCACAGCTTCCCTTGGCTAGGGGAGGGAAATCCCCCTGAATCCTTGCACTTCCCTGGTGAGGCAACACCCCACCCTGCTTTGGCTTACCCTCTGTGGGCTGCACCCACTGTCTGACTAGTCCCAATGAGACGAACTGGGTAGCTCAGTTAGAAATGCAGAAAGCACCCACCTGCTGCATCAATCTTGCTGGGAGCTGCAGACCAGAGGTGTTTCTATTTGGCCATCTTACCAGCATCTAAGCTCAAGATTCTTTTTTGCATGAAATGATGTCTTATATGGGAATTAATATACTGTAAAATACTTTGTACCAAATGTATATACCTCAGGGTGTCTAACTGATCTTGTTCTGTTTTAGGCATTCTGGGCATAAAGCCAAATAACCACAGTGAAACTGGGTGTTCTATTCATAAAATGCATCTTCATCTCTTCTTTCCTTGCTTCTTAATTGCACACACACACACACTCTCAAACACACACACACACACGCACACACACACATACACACTTCATTTTAGAAGCAATACAACCACATTATGAAAACTTAGAAAAAAAATCCTCCATAATTCTATTATTACAATAAGAACAACTATCTGGGAGCATTCCTTATACTTTTTTTTTCTAAAATAGTTACTTCTTTTAAAAATAATATATATACAAGTCTGCTATTTTTTCTTTTATCAAAAGCCTTTTTATTTACATGTTATAACATAAAATTCACCACTAACATTTAAATGGCTGACTATTCTATTTGGTGGATGTAGACATACATGGTTTACTTAACCATGCCCCAGTTTTCTAACTGTTTGTTGTTCTAAGTAATATTAAATGGTTGTCTTTGTGAAAAAAAGCTCCCCCTCCCAATATTTTAC